AGGTGGCTCAAAGGGCCACAAAACCTCCTCTCAAAATTCACCCAGCGGAAACTAAATGTTGCTAGTCTCTAGCAGCCGTTACATCCATAGTCTGCATTTCTGGCTGTCCATGTCCTAGCAGGTAATTGTTTCTGTCAAGATCCATCACCGTGGGCAGTGCCCAACACATTTTCTGGCCGTTTCAGCAGGGAGGTCAGTGGTGGAGCAGGGGCTGTCCGCAGGGGTGTACAGGTAGAGAGGGCTGAGCTTCGTGGAGAAGGCAGCCTAGGGGATCTGTCACCACGGCAGACTGAGTGCTACTTCGGTCTACAGACAGAGCACTGCAGTCTCCAGTCTTGTCAAGCTGTCACCTTTCATCAGCAATAAGTCTGCTCGCTAAATAAATGAAAAAGGTAATAAAACATTTTTATTGGTCATGACAAACCCTTGTCTTAGGAGACGCTGAGAAAATAATGACTTGATTTAAATGTTTATTAAATCAAGTAATTTCTGAGGCATTTTTAACACCTGGGGGTATTTTATGATATGATAAAACAGTTGCATAATTCATGTTACGTATTACACCAGTGGTGCAGTGTTGCTCAGAAGAAATAAAACCATTCTCACCTTAATGTTTTTAATTTTAAGCTAGCCTGGCATTGCATGTTAACAGCATTTTTGTCTAATTTCTCAGTTTGCTCTCTCTTGTAAATGCCATCTGCTTGCTTGTTTTACCACCTCTTTAACAACCAGGTGATTTTTGCCATCTTCGCCCTCCTTCCCAGTATGCCCAGCAGTCCCATTTGGGTTTGTGGGGTTAGTGTGCTAAGCAATAGTCATATGTGTATGTAAATATGTTTCCTATTCTAAAGAACGTTTCTCCATTTCTAGTTCAACAGCTTCTAAGTCTTCCAGCATCCTGGTTTACAGCACTGAATTATTTTACTGTAGTCTAATCTGCTTGTTATGCCAGCTGGTTTTGTTGATCTTTAATGTATTCATTTATGCAATAGGTTCTACTCTAGCAAAGCACTTAAAGTGTGGAGGTAGACTTGGTGGAGAGAACAGCATTAGCTCAAAGCTAAGCACCTGCCTAAATGCTTTGCTGGATTGGAGGCTTAGGAAAGAGAGGAGAAGGTTGGTCTAATTATGTTGAATGTGTTTTAGAGCTGCTTTATCCTAATAGCCTTATCAGCAGACCAACCTGTTGTTACAGATACCCAACAAAGAAGATTTCTTATGGCTTGCTAGGCTTTTGTTTTTTTCACTCCATAGCTTTCTAGATGTCTCTCCTGTCTTTTCTGAACTATAATCTTAAGCACGGTTTGCATAAGAAAATGTATCTCTGTCTCTTAGGAAGTAACTTCAGGGAAGCCATGTCTTAAAATACTGGAGGTAGAAGGCAGTGAAAAGCTGGTGTCACCAGTTCATTTGAGAGCAAAATATTTCTACAAGTCCAGACTGCAGTAGCCCACAGAATAAATGCAGCAGTGAGAGCAGACTGGCGAAAAAGGAGGAAAAAGATAAAATGAATGGCACGAGGGTGAAATTCTGCTCTGCTGTTAGTTTTGGCTAAGCCCATATTAGAACTATTGGGGAGAAATAGAAGGATGTAAACCACTGAAAATGAAATCTGAAGAAAAGATGTACGTGCATTTTTCCAGTTCTACCTCTTACCTGCTGGTGTTTGTCTTTTTCCATTGCTCAGATCTGTGTGCCCTGGCTCCCACAGATGCCAAGAGAAATGGCAGGACTTAGCTTAACTCCTGCTCGCTGTAGAACTGCCCTAAATCCAATGTTACAAGAATTGCTGCTACTCCTTTCCCAAGTCAGAACTTAGCTGGACTGGGTTTCTGCTTTTCCCACTGCTGCGTGGCCAGGGCATGAGGCATGTGAAAGCCACGCGCAGCCCCAGGTGTTTTCAAAGAAGGGGACATTTGTCGAGTCGTCTTTGCACGCCCTTCCTCTTCTGCAGTGTTTGGCTTGGATGTGTTGTCATTTCTGATGTCGTAACGAGCTGCTCGTGGGACTCCCACTGTGCAGTTTCCTGTGTGTTATTCTTCAGAGGCAAGGCTATACTATGGTTTTCTTTCCCCGTTGTTCCTCCCTGAGTGAGCTTTTGGCATCTTTATCAAGGATGGCACTTGATCAAATGCTTAACTTGATTGCGCTGCTTAGACTCAAAGATAGAAATGGGCTTAGGCACTCTTGAAAAAGTATGAGCTGAGGCAGATGTTTAATGTTTTCTAAGATGCAAACCAAGTGCTGTCTCAGAAAGATTACTCATAATTGTTTTTACTATATATATCACGACAGGGAGAAGGAGGAAAAAAGTAGGAAATAGCTGCATAGCAGTAGAGTTGTAAGAACTTCTCATGTTTGTGGTGATTTGCCACCAGGGTGTGTTTTAGCCGAATGTGGCCTGTACATGGGGCAATACAGAGCCCCAGGCTCTCGCCTTCCCGCTGCTTTTTAATGGGCGGGCATGGGGCAGACAGTAGCAGGTAGTGAGCAGCCCCTGGCTGTGTGCACAGCTCTGTCCTGCCTTGCTGTGAGGCTTTCTTCACTTTGCCTCTCTTTGTCTTTCTTTTCTTCCATGTCTGTTTAAAATACAAAGGCTGAAAAGGTGAGGACTGGCTCCTGCTCTGTGTTTGACCCTGCCTGCCAAACCCCGGGGGACTTGATGCCCACTGGCATGTCAAAGTGGTTTTGTAATACAAATAATTACTAAGAAATCTCTATTTTGCCACCTAATTATCTGCAGCTTGCGACTCTCAATGTATTTTGAGACTGACCGACCACTCCACCATCAGTATGAATAAAGTCTGAGAGGTCTGAAGATGCTTTCAGGTTCTCTGTATTTATGACATTGGTGTCTTTAGTAATGGCTTAGGTGCCGGAGACTTGGGCCCACCCTGTGGACACTGTTGAAAGGTCCCTGAAGTGTCTCAAGGTGAAAATTCACATAGAAGCACGTAGTTTCAGGGCAGCACTGGAAATACTGGTTTGATGTCCATACAGCTTTCGTGCAACGTAGGCGCTCTTCTGCCTTTCTGATATGTGTCAGGGCAGGGTTCGCATTGGTTTTGGTGGTATATGAGAACGCAAGCGGGCTGAGGCGTCGGTCTGAACTTGCACAGGCTGTGAGCTGTGTTCTCAGCTGTGAGACTGTATGCATACTGCTTTCTGCCTAACGTTAGTTTTCTGTTTGTCTTTTGCAGCACTTTTACAGGCAGTCATAGCTGGTGATCTGCTGAAGGTAAGTACAGAGCACTGAGTGTCCGCTTTTTCACAACTTTTTGCAGGTCTGATATACTGTAAATTCTATCACACCTCAGCTCGAAACATAAATAGGCTGCTGTAGGGACTGCTGGCAAGTGCCATTTTACAGCTGTTCCAGGAAATCATGAATATTAGGGGAACACATCAGTCAGGTGAGGTGTGAAATCTCAGTGAATAGGATCTGGTGTTGGCACCTTTCAGCCCAGGATTCATTGCTCACTGCACAGAGCAATGTGTCAGTTACTAGCAGGGAAATTACTATACTGGAAAATGCAACACGGAACAGCAGAGCAGTTCTGACACAGCCTTGCATAGTAAAGGATGTTTTATGGCAGTGAGGTTGGTGGCCAAGCCTCTAGAGTTGCTAGAGACTTCTTAACTTCTACCTGGGCAACCACCAGACGAGGTAGAGTGAATCTGAGCTTCGTGTCGCATCGTCTGGTGGATGTCTCAAGACATTTAGTGTCTGGGTGTTGTCAGTTACGAGGAGGGAAAGGCACTCATGCAAAAATGTTTTGTGCCCAAAGTCTGAAGTTCCATGTCTGCCAGTTATTTGGGCTGCGTTTGCGAGTAGCACAGTCAGGATCTGAAAACATGCCCTCCAACTTGGATGAGGATGTGATTAATGATTACAATTTTATCTGTGAGAAGCTACCTTGGAGCCATTTGTAAAAATGACAGTACTGTTAGGCCAACTCTTTGCCTGCAGGTGCCCCTTCTGCACCTCTGCCCCTCTGCTTGTGGCTGCAGCATCTAGGGAGCAGCCCTTCAACCAGCAGTCAGGACAATATTGTTCCCTTTCTGCTTCTTGAAAACATTTTCCCTGACTTTGCTTTGACAGGGACACTTCTTGCCCTTCTTCAGATGTACCACATCGTAAACGATACCCTGCTGTTGCAGTCCTCTCCCTCTTTCCTGCAGAGATTTGCACTGCAGACTGCCCCTCCGCCCCGAGTCTGCGGCATTTCTGAGACCTGGCCGGTCGGTGCTTCCCACCCATTCTTACCTGGCACGGAGCTTCGCCCTCTGCCAGCCCCGGGCAGGGGGTGGGAGTGAGAAGGGGGAGAACTGGGGCAGCTGAACCCCACCGCTCTGCGGATTTCTGAGTTGGAGGTTTCTCGTTTAGTCAGAAAATGTTTTTCTCCTGTGATGAGGAAAAATGGGAATTTTCAGTGGAGAAGCCAGAATTTTCTATCAAGCACATATATTTTTAAATATCCCAGCAGATTCACCAGAAGTGGTTTGCAAGCATTGCTGGCAAGCAATAATTCCTCGCCGGTAGAGTAGCAATGTCTCCTTGAAATACAAACTGCTTTTCTTAACCCATATAATTTTCAATGCTTCTAGTTTCAGGTATTTTTTCACTGGGGCCTAAAAGCTGGCTTTAAAGTAATATTTTATTTCTTTTATTCCATTTTTCTACTGACCTCCTATAAAAATTAGTAAATAATTTGCCTGCATGTTTGTCTTTCTGCTCCTCCCTTCTTATCCTTCTGTGTGATTTTTTTTTTTTTTTTCCAGTTCATAGAATGCTGTAAAAAAGGAGCCAATTTGTTAATCCAAGGACCTGATCACTGCTCCTTGTTGCACCACGCTGCCAAGACTGGGCACAGCGAGATTGTGAAATACATCCTGGAGCATGGTGAGTCGCAGTGGGCAAAACCAGAGCGCGCTGCACTTCAGCTGAGCGTCAGTCGGGTAAACCCCCGCCGTGCGGCTGGGAGAGCCCTCGCTCACCCGCGGTCACCCCCAGCGAAACGTCCACCTGCAGCACGCGTGAGCAGGAGGACGGCAGCGTGGTAGCTGTGACAATGATGGCTCCAGATAAAGGGAAGGCGTGGAAACAAAAATAAAGATGGCTGTTGAGGAGGATGGGTGTTTTCACGACTGTGTCAGTTGGGGGGCTGTGAAGAAGCGGTGTGGTTCTCTAGTTAGAACCTCTGGCATAGGAATCCTCTGAACTAATTTGTTTTGCAATTAGAGCATATGTTGTAGAAAGCATCGAATCTGCCTTAAAACATTTACAGCGATGGAAAGCCCATCCAGCCATTGGTATTAGTTCAGTATTTAATAGCACAGTGGTCAGAGATCTGTGCATTTATTACTCGGCTGGGTTTGCCCAGCTTCCCTTCCAAACTTCCAATATCATGTCTCTGTTAGATTCAAGACCACACAAGAACAAAAATTTATGAACTCTGTTTTATGTTTCTATTTCTAGGCTATGATCATGCCGCTTCCCTTCTTTCCTTTCGACTCCTTTTATCAGTAACAGGATTGCAGGCGTGCTCACCCAGGCTGTGCAGCAATTTGTGCGTGTACATACGTTTGAGGCAGTCGCGTTTAGGCGTTTCTGCCTGTTGAACTACTGAAATCTTGTTCACTGACTGTTGGAGAGCGGCATGGTAATACTGTCACTGCTCTGCATGCAGAGCTGAGGTCCCAGTCCCAGCCTCCTGCACTGTAGGGGAATGTTTTCTAGTTCTTGAAACATTCTTGTGACTCTTCTCTGTGCCCTCTTCACAATATCAATGGCTGTTTTGACTTCTGGATGTCTAAGTCAGCTGTGTTGGGGGTGTGATAAGCCCATCCCGTCCGATGGAGAGCAGCCTGGTCTGGTGGAAGATGTCCCTGCTCATGGCAGGGGGCTTGGAACCAGATGATCTTTAAGGTTCCTTCCAACCCAAACCATTCTATGATTCTGTTCTATGATTCTATGTTATTTCAGCAGCAGTGTTAGCACTAAACGCACAGGCTGCCTCTGGCAATTGGAGTAAGTGTTAGCTAATGCTCGAAAGTTACTGCAGAAATTCTACAGGGAGAAGAAAAAAGCACGACTGATAGGAAAGGGCGAAGCAGTGACCCATCTGTTAACATTTGTGGTAACTGGAGTGGGATTTAGCTCAAGGTTGGCTCCTAAGTTTAGGTGTTTAGGTATGGGTGTCAGGTGATCCATGGGTGTAAGTTCCTGTACTGTCAACAGAGATCTATGACTCGGTTCATTTGCTCATGTGCGACAGAGGTCCTAGAGGAGACCTGTCCTCTTTCAGTGGCAGATGGAAATGAGGAGGGCATCTTTAATGGCAGCAGACTTCTACCAGGATTAGCTCAAGGGAGACGCTAGTCAGGCTAGTCGTTGCAGCCCAGCAAGTGATTCAGCTGGCAGTTACCTGCGGGCTTCATTCATTTAGCTAAACATAACTATCTAATGTCATTTGCCCTCGGATGTCCAGGACATCTGCATGGATCCACAACATAACATGCACGGCCTGTGGGAGACCCGTGCTGGACTGGCAGCTGGAGCCCAAGCAAGCATCGCTGTCATTCCAAATAATCCCGAGGCTTGTCTGTAGGCATATCGAATGGCACAAAGTATCTGTGTGGGCACCTGAACTGTGCTCCAAATACCTGACTGAGGGGGGCTGAGCTGCTTTTATACTCTTTGATGTAGATAGATACCTATATAGGGGTGTCTAAGTGCAGTTGGCCTTATATCCAAATATTGGCTAGCTTTCTCACCAGTTGTAAGAAGCCGTACCAGTGCTAACTCTACCTCCTATTTAACTTCTCTGGATTATCTCAGTAGTCACAGTGTGTACATGTGCCTCTGAATTCTGCAGACAGACATAATTTCATTTAATTTTCTTACTGCCGCTGGTCTCTTCTCGCGTGGCACGTGACCTGTGCCAATTCACTGTCACAGCTGCTTCTCCAGGATTTTCCTTTGCCACATACGCCTTAACTTAGTCACAGTCTGACCCAGTTACTGTTCCTTTGGTGAAGGTTTAAAGTGAGATCATTTAAGCTGGTAAGGATGTGAGCAGGGAATCCATGGTAATTTTTGAAGAGAATAGAGAGATGTGAGGGATTGCGGACTGTTAGACAAAGAAAAAACAGAAGGTTGAGCAAAATGTCAACTCAGTTCCTCTCTCCCTGCTTCATCCCCAAGGATGAGAGGAAGCTTTTGCAGCTTTCCAGACAGCTATCCTCTGGGCTTCTCCAAAGGCATTGTTTGTTTAACATTCTCTGGGGATCAGAAAGTGCATGGGACAATGCTCTAACAGAGGCCTCCTCTCTTCTCCCACCAAGCAATTAATGAAACTCATTTCTACCCTGGGCACTTCTCAGTCACAAACGAGCTCTCTTGCTGAATCATCATCATCATAATGTCCTTGTTTTTCTGTGGCGTTCTCTGGCATCTGGCATCTTCTCAACATCAATTAGTGTATAAGACCCAATCCAACGCTGCTGATATCTGAGGCTTTCCATGTATCTAGCTTCTCACTTCTGCTGATGTCCACCTGTGATAAAAATGAGTCTTACTCCTGTTCTGGCAATTACCTCTGCCCAGCCATACTTACGCTGAAGTTTGTCTGCATCCCATACGTGGCTGGAGACAGCATTAGTAAGAGTGCCACTGCAAAATGCCCTCCAGCACACAGCCCAGAAAACCTATTATTAATCACACAGGGAAAATCTTCTGAATATGCAGCAACAACAAAACAAGACAAAGCCCACCACACCAGGAATTTTAACTGCAAGTGGGATGAGTCGAATGCAATACAGGAGTGGGGAATCCCCCCCTGCCCATAGCACTGGGATTAGGAAGGAGGGAAGATGGTGTAGTGATGCTGGGACTGTCTTTGGTGGAGATGGCTTTATGCTTTCTGCAAACATGAAGGGGACATTAATGCAAAAGGTTATTCTGTAATCATGATCAGAACGATTTCAGATATTAAGAGGAGGAAAATAACCCTTCTTAAATTAGAAAAAGCAGAGGTGGGTCACACAAGGAGACTGCTGTGCTGTATCGCCAGATACTTAACGGTGGACTATCACAAGCCTGGAACAGCAGCTGAAGCACCAGTGTAGTAGGCGTGAGGACAACAGCTGCTTACTGCTGCAGGAACAGTTGTGTTGGCTGCTGCTTCTGCAACACAGTTCCTCTCCATCCCCTGCGCAGGAAGGGCAGATGCACAGACCTATCTGGTGTTCAAGACTGCCTTCCTAAATCAGCATCCAGTCTTTTGCTTGTAGTAGGAGGGTCACCTTTTAAGATATGTCTGTAGCCAGGCTAAGGAACACTTAGCTTGAAGCTGAGGGCCAAACTCAGTAGGTACCAGAACAACATCTGTTTATTGCTGCAGTCAGCAGCGGCCTCACACCCTCATGCACGCACGTTAGAGAAGAGCTAACTGTTTACTTGCTTAACACAAACAGAGTTAGGGAAAGCATAAGAAGCTCCATGAACAAAAGGACCTCCTAAATAATCATCTGTATTTGGAATGAAACTTGGCTTAGAGTCTTTATCTGGCAGTTCTGAACTATTTGTAATTTATAACCATTACACAAGACATTCCAAGGTTTGCCTTCTCCTTGTCTTCTCTTCTCTAGAGGCTCAGAAGACAAACAAGAATTTTGTAGTTCATCTAAGGTATTTTAATTTTAAACAGAAGAGAGGAAGGATTTTTACAGTTGCCTTAGGAGTTTGTGGTGGGAACTTCTGATGGAACAGTTAGTCAGTAGAGCATCCCATCCTGAACATTTCTGTGACCTCAAACCTCAATGTCCTTGCTCCATTACATAGCATCCGCTGGTGAAAAAGATGATGCTTTCATTACTCTTAGCACTGCAAAGACAATAGGGAGAGCCATTACCGAGTTCGGATTTGAATCCTGACCAGATTTAGGAGTTTCAAAGAAGGCTTTTGGAAAGCAAATTTTGCTGTCACAGAGATGTATGTCAGGGACAAAGTTTGAATAGCCATCAGAAAGCGATGCTGAAGGAGAGCGAGTTTGCCTGACACGTGCTCGTATTTCTAGATTTGCAGAATGTTTTAGGGTAGTGGATATTTGTGAGGGGTCTCAGAAGAAAACAGCTTAGCTTCCTTAGAAGGCACAAGGTATAAAATAGTCTATTTTAATTTGCAAGTTTACCAAATTTTAGGTCAACATGGCTGAGAGACAGTTACGATGGAAAGCATGCTCCCAGCACCTGACCTCCCTCTATGTTATGGTGGAAATTCTGAGCTAAAAGACACCAGCAGTAAAAACCATACACTGTTAATCTTCACATTGGGTAAAAATGAGGTGTGTGGAATTGGGGGAAGGCTTGAAATAGTTCTGACTTTGCAGATTACTATTATTTTAAAAATATTTCCTCTTTGAAGGTAAGGAACCAAATCCGGTTTCGTCCCCCAGATAACAACTTCAATCAAGTTGTTAAACAAAGAGGGTGTTGATAGATAAACACCCAGAAATGCTGATAATGTCCAACATTACTGCTTAAAGCAGCACCCTCACCCTCCTTCCCCAGTTCTGTGAGGACTGGCAGGACAAGGGACTGGCAGGGGTTAATAGCTGTGGGTGTCCTGTGGGCAGCTGCAACCACATCCCTTGGAGAGGGCAGGGTGTGCTGCGGGCCTGGAGCCCTTTCGGACTGCATGGTGCTGTATATTTTGGAAATGCCTCTGAAATGTGGTCATTTAGTCTCTCTTTTATGTTCTAGTGAGCTCAGCTAAAGGGCAGCTGCTTTTGAGTGTCTGCTTCCCTTCCCTCCTCCCATCCCCAGCTCAGGCGGCTTTGCTGCCTGAGAAACTGGAGAGGGGCTTTGGTGGGGTGAAAGGGGGCAGAAGGAGAGAAGGAAAAAAGTTAATAATTCTACACAGACAGTCTATCGGAGACGTTAAGGAAAGAGAGTGATCTCAGCTGGGCTTCCCCTCAGTGCGTCATGCTTTTCAGCTCCTTTCATGCGAACGTCTCCCCCCCGTCCCCATCCTGCCATTCTTTAGCCCCCTGAGTCTGTCTCTCTCTTTCTCTCTTTTCTTTTTTCCCTCTCTCCACCTCTCCACACTTTTCTGTCTTTTGTTTTTATTTCCCCCCCTGCTGCTTTCCTTGATAGAAATCTCACTCATGCATTTCCCTTCCGGATTTCTATTGGGTTATTTTGTCCTCTCTCTCTCCCTCTGCGCCTCGGGTCCCCTTTTCTTTCTCTGCCTCTTGTCCCGGAGCGAAGCAGCGGCCTCCCCGCTGGGCCAGGATGACAGTGCCGTTAGCTTTCCCAGTGCCAGCCCTTCCCACATCTGTGCGGCTTTTGTCCCAGGGCAGAGGGGGATTTGGAATGGTCGGTTGGCAGCGCCAGGGAGACTGATGTAAAAATGAGGTCCAAGAAAGAGGGGAAAGGGAATTAGGGGGAGGGCGTGAGATGGTTGAAGAGAAGCACAAGTGAAAATAAAATAAAGAAGTAAAGGGCACAGCTCAGGCTGTGTGTGAGCTGGGACATTCCAGCTTCAGAGATAGGCCAGAAAGAATGAAACGAAGGAGTCCTGGTACCATGTTGTGCTGCCAATCGATTACCCCCAGTATCTGCCCCTTGTGTATGATGGGGACAGAGTCGGGGCACTCCCGTGAGATGCTTTATTCGGGACAGTACCCAGGAACGCACCCTTCGCACACGGGTGGGATGTGCCTGGCACCTCCCCAGGTCTGTACTCGCCGGCTGCCCGCTCAGCCCGCAGCACTCTGCTCCTCTCTCCTAGCCTTACTATTTCCTCCTGCTCCAGGCCGGTTTCCCTTCACCCTTGGCTTCCTGTCTCTTCAGACCCACTCTGCCGCAGCTTCTCCTCCCTCTCAGGTCACATTCTTCTAACTTCTCTCCATCCTTCCTCCTAATGTTTTAACACCTTTTTCCGGTGGCCAGCCCAGTCACCTTGTTCCACTTCTTCATCACAACCTTCCTTGTCCCATCCATGAACACAAATAGTAGTTTACTCGGCAATGTCTTTGCTAACACACTGCAGGCCATTCCTGGTTACCTATCACTGGGCTGTGGCGTTGCAGCAAGCCATGGAGAATTGCCTTTATTTTTGAGAGAACAAGATTCTCTCCTGGGAGATGTGAAGGAATCTTTTTCTTCATCTGTGTTTTTTTTTTTTCTTTTTAGTTTCTCAGGCATTATCTTTCTTTCTTCTCAACAAGGGGCCCTGCTTAGCCCCCTGTATCCTTCCTCATGCTTATGGGAGCTCAGGGATCATGAGTGATTCTTCTTTTTGATATGGAGGATGGATACATAACTGCCAAGAACAGGTTGCCCAGGGAGGTTGTGGAGTCTCCTTCTCTGGAGATATTCAAGCCCTGCCTGGACGTGGTCCTGTGCAGCCTGCTCTGGGTGACCCTGCTTCGGCAGGGGGTTGGACCAGATGGCCCACAGAAGTCCCTTCCAACCCCTGACATTCTGTGATTCTGTGATGTGAGGCAGAAGAGTCAGGGTGCTGTGGATTAAAAATGGACAGTGACTAATGAGTTTGCAGCACTGCCCTGGTAGGTACGCAGTGCCCTGTGCACTGAGGACTAAGCACGCTGCTGCTTTGACCACCCCTTTTCTCACGATGACAGAAGATGAAGTGAAGGAGCTGCCTGCAGCTCCGGGAGCTGAGGCAGCCAGCTGCCCGCGATGATGCTGCATGTGTAGGTTGTAAAAACAGTGAGGGAGAAACAGGCTGCTGTGGTCCATTTGGACACCCACTCAGAGTGAAAGGAGCGTAGAGAGGTTGTGTGTAGGCCTTTGTAAGCAAGTAGTGTGAAATTCCTCAGTTTCAGGTGAGATTTGCTGTAAGCTCTTGAGGACTCTTGAATTTCAGAGTGTGCTGAAGAGAAATATTCATGCACAGGAAGGAAAATTCCTGTAAAGTTTCACTGTTCCCCTTACTAACTGCCCCACACCATCTGGCACTACGCTCCAGAGCCGCGGAGAGAAGAATAATAAGCCAGGCTGCAAAGGGAAAATGTTTTCTCATTTCAGATGCTATTCAGATCCTAGCCTTTCCATATCACTGTCATTCAGTGATGGAATTTGCTGCCATAAACATCTGCCTGTAGTGAATATCAAGGACAAAAGAACATTAGCATAAATGCATTATTTTGTCCCACTTAACAAAAATATTTTCTGTTTTTCTTAATCTTACTTTCCTGATCATTGCTAACCAGTAGAGTGCAGGATTTGCATATCAATATAAAGTCCGCTGGGAATATTCCACCCTGATCTACATTCTGTATAATGCTGTTAAATGGAGTAGCACAGCGATGTCATTCAGGACGGAATTTGGCTAATTTCAACTTCCTAATGACATTTTCCCTCTAGTACTAACAATAGATTTTAACTTGCAATATATCAGGGTTTCCAGTATATCAGCATTTTCCATGCACTGTACTTATGTCAACCACTTAATTGAGCAAGGTGAAGAGTGAGAAAATAAACTCCATGAATATTCATTCCCAGTATAATTTAGAGACTGCTACTCCCTGGTGCTGACACTCCAGCAGTGACTGTGCATGCAGAGTTTTGCTAGTGCAAGGGCTCACACAAGCAAATATTACCTTAAAGTTTGGCATAATTGTACAAATTGAGCTTCCAGTTGGTTTCTTTTACATATTTGCACCGGGAATCTTCTTCTGCTAGTCGTACTCTTCTAGTCGTGCAGACAAACGCTGTATGACATACCTGACTGTCTTTTGCAGGTCCATCTGAATTGCTGGATATGACCGACAGTGAAACGTAAGTACCATCTACTCTGCCCTTCACAATTTATGTGTGACACGAGCAGACTGCTCTTGTTTCACAAGTGCAAACTTTCAAATAAAAAGGCTTGTAAGATGGCACATCTCTTCAAGAGCAAACAAGAAAACAAAAGTCCCCTCAAACCCAAGCAGCAAGCATATGTGGCTTTCTGAACTAAAACAAATGTTTCTATAACTCCAGAAAGGACTTCCTCTTTGTTGCTTCCCACGCCTCCTTAAGCTTTCCAGAGGAATACAAGTCCTGCAATGTGCTTTGGTGTTTCCAGAATCCAGGTACTGAGGAAGCAACCTGAAGGGGAAATTCCAGAAATGAGGAAATTATTTTTCTTGCTCTACACCTTTTCTTCGGTCCCTTCTTGATTCATCCGGAGTGCTCCGCCTTAGCTGTCCCAAGTGGCCATAACACGCTCAGTCAAAGATTTACCTCCAGTAGTTAGAACCTCCATCATCTCTGTTATTGTAAAAAAAACAGACTTTACTTTCCAACTACCAACTGCTCTATGTCTTGTAATATAACCAAGGTGTCACAACGAGTATGTAAGGGAAGCATGGCTAATCCTGGGAAGTATATGGAATATATGGGAAGCAAAAGTAGCCTTTCTCATAGAGGTTAAACCTACCGTTCCTCATTCCACAGTGCCGCCTTCTGCTAATAGAGAATGCCAAAAAAGTTCTGTATGAGGTGCATGTGCGCAGTTCCAGGGGTGATGCGGTCTGGAGGGACCGCCTGTTTCTTTTCATCCAGTAGCACAGCACAACCACTAAAATAAAGTGAAAGCGAACATGGCCGTGAGGGCTTCCCTTTACAAAAGTCCCTCTGCTGCTAACTCTTGGAAAGGGAAGATTCAAGCCGTAACCGGCAGCATGAATTTGTCTTTTGATCCTCAGGGGAAATCAGATAGTATCCCATTCCGAATCGAGTTCTCATGCAGCAGAAGCAGATTCATTACAAGGCTGTAAGCAATCTGGACGTCCACAAATCCATGGGCCCCGATGGAATGCACCCACGAGTGCTGAGGGAGCTGGCGGATGTCATTGCTGAGCCACTCTCCATCATCTTTGAGAGGTCCTGGAGGACAGGAGAGGTGCCCGAGGACTGGAGAAAGGCCAATGTCACTCCAATCTTCAAAAAGGGCAAGAAGGAGGACCCAGGGAACTACAGGCCGGTCAGCCTCACCTCCATCCCGGGAAAGGTGATGGAGCAGCTTATCCTGGAGGCCATCATGAAGCAAGTGGAAGAAAAGAAGGTTATCAGGAGTAGTCAGCATGGATTCACCAAAGGGAAATCATGCCTGACCAATCTGATAGCTTTCTACGATGACATGACTGGCTGGGTAGACGAAGGGAGAGCCGTGGATGTTGTTTACCTTGACTTCAGCAAGGCTTTTGACA